AACTGTCTCTGCAGAGAGAGAACAGTTCAAATATCCCAAACAGAAATATCCCAAAAACCTCCTTTAAGTGCAGGCATTGTACTTTCCGTCTCAAGGACTCAAGTTCAGCTAACCAGTTTCCCTGAACCCTTTCACAAAATATTACCCTGATCACACTCCAACAGCCTGTCTAGTCTTAAAGACCATTCATCTTCACTCACCCTTATCTAACACGCTCACAAATACCTGCCGTAGGTCCAAGCCCCTTGCACACAAAACCTCCAAGTCATACTATTTTGCTCCATCCTCTCTAAATGACCAAACCACCTCAACAACCCCTCCTCAGCCTCTGAATAATACTTTCATTAACTCCACACCTCCTCCTAATTTCCACACTATGAATTCTCTGCATAATATTCACACTACACACTGCCCTTAGACATAAGATCTCTACTGTCTCCAGCCTCCTCTTTGCTGCGACATTCACAACGAATGTTCCACACCCATGTAAGAGTGTTGGTACCACCATACTCTCATACATTCCTTTCTTTGCCTCCAAGGATAATGTTTTTTGTCTCCACAGACACCTCAATGCACTATCCACCTTTTTTTCCTTCATCAATTCTATGGTTTATCTCGTCTTTCATTAACCCATCCGCCGACAAGTCTACTCCCAAATATCTGAACACATTCACTTCTTCCATACTCCCTCCCTCTAATCTGGTATTTAATTTTTCCTCCCTCACACTCACATCTGCCTCTTCTTCACACCTAAAAGATGTTATACTCCCTGGCCAATGCATGAAATCACTACCTCCCTCTCTTCATCAACATTTAATAGTGCCTCAAAATATTCCCATCTTCCCAATACCTCCAACTCCCCATCTACTAACTCCCCTAGTCTGTTTTTAGCCGTCAAGTCCATTTGTTCCCTAGGCTTTCTTAACCTATTTATCTCACTCCAAAACATTTTCTTATTCTCAGCAAAATTTGTTGACAGCACCTCACCACTATCATTTGCTCTGCTTTTAAAATATAATGTGTACATTTAAAACACCTAAATACCAACCTGTCCAAGAGAAAGTAATGGTGCTACAGAGATACTAGGTATAGGAGGTATGCTGAGGTCCCCTGGGGGCAGAGCATTAAGAGGACGTCCCTGGTTCACCATTCCCAGCAGTTTTTTGCCTTCCTCCTGCAAATGTTCAAGGTACAGTATTTTGTCTATGGATTAGAGTTTCAAGAAATGCGATACAGAACTGAAAATGAAAATTATATATTTTTCATAAATTAAGGGGTTACTTTTGAAAATGGTTTGACAAACCTGTGCTAACCACTTCTTAATAAAGTTACCAACAAAATTAATAATTATTAACCCTTTCAGGGTTGGGGCGCCTGGTCTCAAACTTGATGGAAAACTGCCGAAATTAAGCTTTTGTGAATTTTGCCGTGTCAGTGACATATACGCATCGGTGATTTTGCCCACTTTGAGTCCGATTTTAGTCCAATTCCACTATTCCAGTTGACCAAATTCTTAATTATTTCACTAGCACGTCTTCCATTCTATCGACTGAGTACAAGAAACTGACCATTCAAATATTTAACCTACCCAATAAAGTGATCAGAAATTTGTAATTTGGCCAATTTCATACAAAATACAACAAATGCCAATTTCAAAAGAGGGTTGAGAATAAACGACGCAGACATTCCTGGCACTAAAATATCTTTTACTCTGTCCATTAGTCACATCCCCAGGCCTCTCCATATTACGCTTGCTTTCCATATTGAATTTTTATTCCCACAAAAAATAGAATAGTTACTGTTACACAGACTACTGCATCATTGTAATAATTATATAAATAATGTCAGTGCAATCGTAAATATGAATTAGAGTGGCCAGATGGAAATGTATTGGATGAGTGACGTCGTATGTGTACTCCGGAATATCGGCAAATTTCGCTATTTTGAGCTCAATTTTAAGCTACTTTCCATCTCTAAATTAATCAAAATCACACGTATTTCTGTAACATATCTTCCATTCTATCAAATGAGATGAAGAAACCAAAAATACAACCATAAAAGCCATACAAAAATACACTGCAAAGTCACCGATTTAATCCAAAAACAGTCGCAGGTTTTTCCCATCATGTACTGCATGCTGCAGGATTTTCTTATATGATGCACACTGCAAAGACCCATTCTCTCATATCTAGGCCTAAATTTACCCCTCACAGCTTATCTGAGTGAGCTGAGCTCATGGTGTAGTACTACTGGACCAACGAGGGCTTGAAAGCCACAGAACAATGGGACCCATCATCAAAGAGTTAAATTAAATTTCTGGAGATGAATGGTATTTGGGACCTGACGATCTGTTGGAGTGTGAGCAGGGTAATATTTAGTGAAGGGATTCAGAGAAACCGGTTATTTTTATATAGCCGGACTTGAGTCCTGGAAATGGGAAGTACAATGCCTGCACTCTAAAGGAGGGGTTTTGGGATATTAGCAGTTTGGAGGGATATGT